GGGGGGGGGGGGGTAATCTATTAAAAGCAAACAAAACAAACAATAGTGAAGCACCATGCAGGAGATGACTGAAGCCAGTAAAAAACAAAGCTCTTTTTTGTTCTCTCTCTCAAAAAAAAAAAAAAAAAACCCTTAGACATCACTGTTCAGAATAGGCCTGTTGGCCCATTGCTTTGCATCTTGAACAGTGATTTACAGTCTGATGTGGGTGAAGAATATCTTCAAAGCAGAACCTACATTGGTCAGCCCTTCTCATCTCACTGGGTCAGGTTTCCCCTGTTAAGATCAATACCTCCTTGTGTAAAGGTAAAGGACTGGATGAGATGGAAGACAATGGAAAGCCCTGTGGTTAGGTCTATTCTGTACTTACACCCTGTAATTTCACAGTATACCAGCCAAGGATGTGGCAAATTGGCATGGCTGTACACTAGGGCTGCCCAACTTATTTGGCCCCACAGATCAAATCCAGACTGCAGGGCAGCAGCCTGTCAGCGCGGCTGTTGTAGCTACTACATTGGTGTGACCCTGGAATGCAGAGGGTGAACACCACGGCCACTCACCCCTCCATTTCCTGTGATGCCAATTTGAGTCACCAGACGAGAGTCAAGATCCTGAATTTGGTGGTGGGAAAAGGTGTGTGTGGATGAGTGGAGGCGGCATTCACCCCTGGGTTCTGGAGCTGTGCCAGTACGGTAGATCCAGTGGTTGTGCTGATAAGGCACAACTTAACCCTTCACTGAAACAACTGCATGGGTCACATGGAGTCCATGGGCCACCATACGGACAGTTTTGCTTTATACCATTGACATGCTGATTTATGCCAGTTATGGATCTGCTCCCCTGCAGCAATGATTTTGTCCCACATTTATACCAGTATAAAGGCCTGTCTACATTCAGAGTTGTAATAGCTTAACTTAGAGCAAGGGTGTGCAATTATTTCAGCTGACGGGACACTTAAATTCTGGTGAGCTGTTGAGGGCCACACATAAAACCTTTCATAAAATATAAATGTTAACATATTAGAGACAAAACAATTACACTAGAAATCTAACACCTACTATAACATATTTAATTTTATTTAAAAAAAATAATTGTTACCTTGATTTATGTTTTTTGAGTAGTGTACATATAGAAGCAATTGCATAATAGCTCAAAATAACATCTTACTCTTGTATATTGCATGTGTGGGGACAGGGGAAGTTGACACAAGTGTGTGGTGGGGGTTGTATGGGAGGCTGCCCTTGCACTAGGCCCTGGGAGCCAGCAGGGAGGTGGTGGGGTGGGGCGG